GGAAATTACTCTGGTTATGTACCAGTGTTTGACGGGTGAAGGGCTGCAGAATTTGATGATGCCAGATTTGAATGATCTCGGGTTGTTGCTCGATCAGAACTTGAAGGAGATTAACAAGAGAATTGATGAGCTCCAAAAAACTACTGCTCCACCTCCTCCTCCACAGCAGGTTGCACCGCCGCTGCCACACGTACCAATAGGTAATTTGTATATGCAGGAGCAGAAATCGACGGTGGATTTAACAATGGATGCCATGCAAAGGCCACAATGGTTCACAGATTGGACGAACAATCCCAGTGACCATCAGCAAATGAATTCTTTTGGGCATGGAGATGAAATTATACTGCCATTTTGTGAGAATAATCACAATACAATGTGGTCTAATGCCTTCTTCCCTTGATGATCATCTGGAATTCAAAATATTTCCTTTTCCAAGTCTGATGATGCATTTGCACATTTTAAAGTCATAATTCTACGTGTTTTTTTATCATTAATTTCGAGACTTTTGCTTCTTGTTATATAAGTTTAACGTGAAAAACAATTTGATTTCCGATATGATTGAGCGAAATCTCCATTTAACTTGTATATTTTGCTTTTTTCTTGTTAATTTTTCGGCTTTACATTTGTCAAATCATTTTAGAATATATGGTATCCAAAAACTTCAATTTTTTGTAGCACTTGAGTTCTGATGGAGTATGCCACAACCATGTCGAATATTTTAGTGTCCGTGACACTTAGCACTTAGGTTTCCGTCCAATAAATTGTAAAAATGTGAGTCCTTGCTCTTTTGCTATTGTTCACTTGGCATTGAATTGGGAAATGGTATTGAACTTCCAAGAATCCAGAGCTACATCAAGACCTATAGTAATTATTCTTATAAGCGACCGGCATACTATTCTCATTTCTACCTATTTGCCAAAACTTTGATTCCCTATAATTTCCATGTAGTCGACTTCTTGATTTTGTCCAGTCATTAATAATTTCACTTTTTTTCTTTAATAATTGATTTATATAACACTAAGTCACGTCGAATTTTCTCATTAGGGCCAGTTTGATCTAGATACTGAGATCTCTGCATATATGAGATTTTCTTGTAAAATAATATTTATT